ACACACATAAGCAGGCACTGAACGCATTTACAATTGGATTTTTGTTTTTTAAGGGTAAAGGATTTGCTTGGGGACCCGAAGGCCGAACAATAAAAGAGTGGAAATGGCATAAATACGTAATTCAGGACATTTGAATATTTCATAAGGACATGACCCACATACAAAATAAAACACACAAAAATTATTACAATTCTCTGGTGCTCACACATAAAATGCGTGTGCGTGTGTGTGATGAAAATCCTGAAGGAAATTTGCTTTTATTGCTGAGGGGGATTCGCATAGGGAAATGCTGGAAAGGAGATGCATAATCTTCTTGGGTCTTGTGAATTACTACGATATGAATGTGAGAATTTGCAGTAGTCAAATTACTTGTTGGTCAGATGAAAGTGTGACTTGAGGAAATAACTAGAGGTTTCTAACTTTTGAATGTAAAATGTTAATTAAGCTTGGCAGGGAAAAATGGATCAAAAGATAACTTTCGAAGGATTAAAAATCCCTCTCTTTTTGGGAGAATCTATAAGAAAAGATTGGAAATAAATATGATTTGTTAAGGAATATTAGGATTATTTACAAGAGATTATTATTTCCGAGATATAAAGTATAGGTTTTTAATATAAGTAAATGTTTTTTAATACAAGCCTAAGCTACTTTTTAAAAGTATCGCATTTATAAATCATGATTTGATTGCCATTTTCATTTGTGACAATCAAATCTGACACTTTAAAATACAACTCAATCTTTGAACCCTATTGACTTGAAAAATTAATAGAATGTATGTGTCGGATTGCAAAAACTTCAAAAGAAAATCTCCAAACGATAAACATCGATGATTACACACTGAAGTAAATGACAGCTTTCACTTTTCCAATATATCAAATTGCACAAACATAACCAATAAATCACAGGATGTCCATAAGTCACACCTTCCCACATACAATTCCCCTTGACTTCGATTAAATTGACACCGAACCCGATATCCCCCGACCTTCAGGTCGAGATATGTAATAGATAGGAATCGCAGTTGGCCAATTACGGCCCATCCCCACCCCTCTCACGCAATCCTGCACCACCGGCAACCACCAGCACTGCCGCACCACCCGAATTTCTGGCCGACATTTGGCATCACTTGAGTGCGCGACCACCTGACAAATACCTCGGATATCATTCACGCCGGGAATCGGAATCATTCACTCATATCGCCAGCCACTGATTGGCATTGACAGACGTCGACGCGGACGCGTCGCCGGGCAACTGCAATTTTGTATCTTGATAAATTACTTATGACTGGCCCAGACATTGATGGGTACTCGGTACTCAGTACTCGGTGGGGGAGGAGGAGGGGGAGGACTCGGGCACGCAGCACAAATCACTAAGTGCGCACCTGAAAACATTTAACCATAACCGAACATCGTGCGAAATGGGAATAGAGAGTTTGGCCCAAAGGATACCCTTTAAAAATGTTAATTTTATGAGAAATTATTTGGGCAAAAATAATAATAAGTACTGGTTAATGATTCTTAAATCCTTATGAATTACAGCAAATTAAATCAATGTATACAATAGAAGAGCCTTGAGTAAATAAATAAATGAAATATGTTTAGATAATTTAAAAAAAATCCAATGAAAGAATTAAAAATTAAAATACTTAGTTTTACGAAAAAGTAAAATATGTTAGATCACTTTGATCACAAGAAATGTATTTTTTTCTGAACAGAATCCTTTTAGATTGCACTAAATTAAGGAATTTAAGCTATATAGAATTTAGAAGTCACGCGTAGGTATGGCAAATAAAAAAAATATATTTATATAAATAAATTTAAGCACATAAAGGTGAAAACACTATGCTATCAAATAATTGTGTTATTTAATAATTTAATTTCAATAAATTTATTTTTATTAATTTCTAAACTTTCTTATTTTATAAAAAATTATAAAAAATGCTGGTATCCCTGTTGTTTTCTAATAGATATTTTATTGTTATACACTTAATAACAAATAATAACACCTGGTATTTATATAAAAGGTATAGAGGGGCCCTAAATTCGCAGATATAAATAGCTTTAGAAACAAGCAACTAATTTATAAAAGTGAAAAATAAAAAAAAAGGTTTAGAAAACAGGGTTCAAAATAGTTGAACTGTGGGCGTTGACAAAAAAAGGGTGCAACGAGGAGTGGAACCAAAATGAATTAGTAATAATATTTGTTTGTTTGCCTTTGCTTATTCTTCTGCTTGCACATTTCGCGTTCTTTATTTTTTCGCAAAACTTTTTCTCTTTTTTCGCCATACTTATAACGATTTCGTAGCTGTTTCTGTGTTTTGGCAGCCAACAAAGGCGACATCGAAATGGGTTGCCGAGCACAGCGAAGGGGGGCAGAAAAGTGGGGAAATCGATGAGACGACAACTTGTGATGTGGCGGTGATGGCGACTCGGAGGTACGGGATGTTTGGATACACGGAGGTGTGGACGTGGTGGAGGCGTCGCCGACGGCGTCGGTGGGACAGTTAATGGCGACAACGGCGGCGCACGTCTGGAAGCCCCGACTTTGGCGACGGCGATGCGATCCGTTGATGGCAATGGGTAATGGGTAATGGGTAATGGTGCCGCTGACGGTGTCGTCGACCAGACGAAATCCCGCCAGCAGGCAGGCAGTATCGCAGGAAAATAGTGGCTGGCACACAACACACACACACACAACCAGACAGACTCCTTCGGAATGACAAAAGACCGAAAAAATAAACCAGGAGGAGAGGTCCTTGGCAGAGGACGACATGCCCCACCTCCAGTTCACTTGAGTAAATCAAACCAATTTCAAAACTCAACTAAGCAAGAAGACAACAACAAATCACGTCCATCGGAAAGAGGATGTGATGGATGAACCATTTGTTAAATGTTATTAGGGCGCTACAAGAGGGGGATTTACCAATACTTTTTAGCACTTGCATATAAATTATATTTAAAAGCTAATGTTAACTGAGGAAATAAAGAAAATAAATTTATTTATGATTTAAATTTATAAATTTATTAAAGATATTGTATGTTTCAGTTCTATAAATCCAGCAAGGTAACATTGAATTTTATATTTAAATAAATATAGCAAAGTCAAATTTTTCTTAATTCTTAAAAATGTTTAAATATTTTTGGGATATCGAAAAGGATTTTTAATTATTTGTATGGAGTTTAATTCACAGTGTGGTTTATAGTTTTAGTTTGTTTCGTTTTTTGAAAGCCTTTTGAGCAAACATAAAACATACACGAGTCAAACCCTGTCAACAACCTTTGAAGTTCAACATTAATTTAAAAACTTCAGACAAAACACCACTACTCATGCCTTCTAATCAAAATACAATTACAAATAAAACCGAACAATTTTTTTACCAGTCTGTCAACCTCCTTCAAAAAGAAATTTTTCATAAATTCAATCAATGAAAATGTAACTGGCTCGTCATCCCTTCATTGCAAACATATATCAGCCAGACAAATCGAAATTACTTTTGGTTAGAGGTTTGGGCTTTTTCATCCACAATCCAGTCAAATGGAGCGGGCGAGATTCTTAATAACGACTTCCGAGGGGCGCTTAAACTGTTTGCTTTTGCCTCGCTGATTGTGTTTTCTGCATTTGTTTGTTGATGTTTCTGATTCAGAATCCGCTGCCGTCGATGCACACGCGCCCACAGTAAACACACTTGAAAAGCGATTCAGTCAACAGTTCAAGTCGGCAGACAGTTGACTCGCCGAAGATGGCCCCCCAAAAAGACAGCCAGCCAGCCAGCCACCCACTGTTGTCCTTGGGCAAACACGCAATTTTCCACTTTTTGGTCCGCTGCACGTGCTGAAAAAATGACAGGAACAATGGCAACAATCAGTCAATAAGTAAAATTAAAATAATAACAAATTTCGGATAGAAGCACCAGTCAAATATAATCAACGCAATGGGGAAAAAATAAATCTAGAACGTCAGGGGCGGGAATTCAATGGAAAACATATTTCCATTTAACTCATAAAAATTATTTCGTACACAAAATTGTTTAGAGATTCAATTCAATTTTCGGATATTAAGTAAAAGTAATGTATGTATGTTTGTTTTTGGGCAGGAATGTTCCGATTGTTTGTTTACAATGCCGGCAACAAGTTGATGGCTATTGAGTGGGAGAGAATAAATATGTTTAATGATTGTTTTTATAATTCTTCGCCAGCCGAAAAATTGCGCAATTGAGTCTATGGAAAATGCCGAAAAGAAAACAACTGGGAGTGAAAATATGCACTTCCTTTCAATAAATCAATACAGAAAATCAAACCTATCATATCGGCTTATGCCCTCCAAGCAACAAATTGCTCACTTCTCTGGGTGTGTATATAAAGTTCTATCTTTGTATTCATTGTGTAAATGTTCAAGGAAACCGAAAAAATACCCAGGCCGTCTTTTATCCTTTTCTTCGGCACTCCCTTTTTCCCCTGCTCTACATCGAAAAGGAAAAAAAAGGAAAAGAAAAGAAAAGCTGAAAATGTTTTGCCCACTCTTTGGTGGCCCTAATCAAGTAACCCGAACACGTTCTTTGTTAGATTTATATGGAAAATATATTTTTATACATGCAACCCAATGAATCCCGACCCAACCTTGCGACCCACCCACTTGCCACCACCGCCCGCTGTGAGAAAACTGGCTCCTTGGGGGTGGCTAGACTTTCCCGGCTAGTCAAAAGTGATATTTTACATATTTTCCGACAGTTTTCCCTTTATTTTCCCACTTCCCTATCCCATCTTGACTGCTCCTTTTTGTTTTTTTTGTTTTTTGCCCAGCTTTGCTTGCATTTTATTACTTAACGCTTAAGTGTGCTTCTTAGAGAGGAAAAAGGAGCTAGGAATGGTGGGTTTTTTTCCATCGCAGAGTTTTCTGTTTTAAATTGAAAAGTTGTAAAAGGATTTCTTGGGTTGCTCCTTTTTTTTTCCTTCTCCGCTAGAGGTTGGCAAATTAAACACTCCTTTTTTTTTGGGAAATGATCAAACAGAAAACTTTTATTTAACAAATATGTTGGAATGGGGGGCAATATAACAGAGAATGGGAATGAGATGAAGACAATGGGTGGCGTAATGAAAACAATGAAATCACGGGTTATCACAATTACCAGCTGCCACCGCCCTGGGGAGCCCAGCCTCCGCTGGAGGAACCACCCGAAGACCAGCCGCCACTGGAGGCGCCACCGGAAGACCAGCCACCGCTGGAAGCACCTCCATAGCCTCCGCTGGAAGCTCCACCGTATCCACCACCATAACCACCGGAATCTCCCGCTCCAGAGTCCGATTCCGAGATGATTTTAATGATCTTCACGGCAGCAGGGGCCTCTGCACCGCCTCCTCCAGAGGACCAACCACCGCTGGAAGCTCCTCCCGATGACCAGCCACCACTGGATGCTCCTCCCGAGGACCAACCTCCGCTGGGTGCTCCTCCCGACGACCAACCGCCGCTGGATGCGCCTCCATATCCGCCGGAAGATCCGCCATAGCCGCCACCGCCTCCATGACCTCCAGACGAACCCTGCTGCGAGATGATCTTAATGATCTTGATCTCCTGGGCACCACCGCCGCCATGTCCACCGCCACCACCAGCAGACCAGCCGCCGCCGCCACCACCGCCTCCTCCGGATTGCCAGCCTCCAGCACCTCCAGATGGAGCGGATTCGTGGATCACTTTGATGACTTTGACGGGCGGAGAGCCACCACCGCCATGATGATCGGAGCCGTGATCAGAGCCACCACCGCCGCCATAGCTGTAGCCACCATCTCCGCCACCATGGGAGGATCCACCACCACTGTAGCCTCCATGGGATGAGCCACCACCACTGTAGCCTCCGTGGGATGAGCCACCACCACCGCCGATTCCTCCGATGAATCCAGCTTGAGCCACAGCGGCCACAGCCAGCAAACAGACAAAGATTTTCATGTTGACCTGATGGAGATGAGCCAAAGCGTCGAACTGATGACTTTGCCAGGTCGCGGTTTCACTTTTATACAGCTGGAGCTAGTGCCAACCGCCGAGATTCGAGGCGGCCTTGTCCGGAAGCCAACGCAAGTGGTGCAGTGCACTACGGACACCCCCGAGCCAGTTAACAGTATTAACACAGGCTCAGGCTCGAGTGGCCACGGCGAAAGCCTCGGTGGGTTGATGTCGAAAGACTCTCCCCAAACCGCAATTGAAGGCTACATTTGCTGATCGAATCAGTTGGGAAATGGCTTTAATAAGTGACTGATATACGCTTTCTTTGGGCCAAGCATGTAATCAAATGATATCTCACATATCACGAAATTGGAGCTACTGGATTCAAAGTACAATGAAATTGTTTTGGTAAGGAGATAAGTTTGTTTGTTATAAGTTACCTACAAACGTTTAGATTTTTACATATTTTTTAATACAATTTTAATATTATGAAACTATAAAAAACTAACTAAATTGAAACAAAGGTTATTTGTAATATTTATTTTGTGTTAAAAGTCTGTAAAAACCAAAATAAATAGTTGATATGATTCTGTTAAATCAAGATCTACCAACAGAACGATAAAGTTAAAAACCACAATTTAACTAAATAAGTTAAGGCAATAAATAAAAAATATAATAAAAACTAAGGCAGCTACAAACAAATTATCATTTGAATTATTTCAAAAACTCTAGGATTTAAACCACAAAATGGAACAATTCAGCATTTTAATGTTAGTTTCTCATTTGCATGCTTACCCTATTTATTAGAGTATCTCATCAGCGACTTCAATCTAAATTTGTTATACTTTCTCGTGATTTGTTTGGATTATGTAATCAAACACAAAACCAACAAACAAATAAGCGAGCAAGCAGCGAACATTATTTTTGGCGCTTCAAGCGCACTTGAATGAAGTTTTTCCCCTGATCACACAACATCTGCCTTTGGCACTCTCTGCCCCTTCCGTCGATCGAAGCCGTGATTAATGAATCTGGAGTTCAAAACGCAGGTGATCGAGCCCAGGTGAGAGGACAAGTCGACGGGCAGGCGAGGTTCGTGCGCTTTCAACTGTCCCTGACATCGATTTCTGGGCTACCGCTTCGAGTTGTTACGCATGCGCCTCCACTGGGTCACTTACTAATTACACGCGGAAAAAACCATTTAAATTTGAATTAAATATGCATAAGGTTATAAGAAAGTTTTAAGTTTAAGAAAGCAAAACCCACAAAAATATATATTTTAAAAATATTTCTGGATGTCTTATAAATCGCTTGTAATATTACACATATAAAACTATCATTCTTAGGAGATTTTGCCTATGAATAAGCTTTCAATTTAATCATTAAATATAATAATGTTATAAACTTAACTACATTTTAAGAAAAATTGACTAAGTGCAAATATTTTAGTTAAGAATTGTTTATTTACTGCGATATCTTATCATAAGGGATAAATTCGGCAATTATTAGCATTTAAAAAATTTTCTTTTAAAATAGAGACGAACCATCCTTTTTTTTAATGGTCTGTATTAACAGAAATGTACCTGATTTTTTGCTTTTGTTTTTCATAGTGCACTGTCTCCTGTTTTTTTTTGGCCACCAACCCAATAACTTCCCGTTCATTCATCCGTTCCAGCACCTTTGCATCCATTCATCGATCATCTGGCTGGGGGCAACAGTTCTCAATGAGACGTCAAGTTCTCATTAAGACGAGAGCCGCATGCAAATGCCAGATCAATTAATCAATTTGTTTTGCCAATAAATACGACTAAATATGGCCAACGATCTCTGCCAATAATGATAAATGGTTTCACCAGCTTGGCTTTTCTGCTTTTGCAGTCCATTTGGCTTTATGTTATTTTATCTCTTTACATTTTCACTCGGCCAAATGAATTCAATTAAGCAAAAAAAAAAAAAAAATGCCAAAAAATTAACGTGGGAATATTTTTTGGTCTGCGCTTGGCCACGCATGACAAATATGTCAAGCAACTCCAAGTCCCGCAAATTGTTCCCCTGATCTATGGACTAAATAGACCATGCATGAAACGTATTGCCATTTTTATACTCTTTTTTGAGGCCCAAGGCGGAAAAGACAGGCTTGAATACGAGATAAATTAATAGTCATTTGTTTTCAAACAGTTATAACTCTATTGGGGGCCAGATCTTTTCGAACGACAAGTGTACAAAATGAAGAAGGTAAATCAATAGAGATTCTTTGCTGTATATTTAAAATCATTTAAAGTATTGCTAGAATGTGTAAATAACTTAAAACAAGCATAAATCACTTATAGTTAAATATATTTAAACGTAGATAAATATTTATTAATGAATACCAACTCAACTCTTAATAATAATTGTAACAAATATAGATGATAGTAAAAACTTAAACAAATTACATTTTATTTATTTACAAAATGAATTGTAATATGTTTTTATATTTATAATTAAACATAATGCCATTGATGAATTTTATTTAGTTTTATATCTGATAATTACTCAGGCATTTAGTTATTTTATGAGTAAATAGTTTATTTTTTTTTAATATGGATTTTCTTTGAGAAATTTAAAGTATATTGTATATAACGCCTGAAGCTGAACCCCTGGGAAAGTTGCTTAGGGTTAAAATGGTGAGCTTTTTTCCTCGCCCTTCTCTTATGTCACATTTAGCGAGTCTGACATTTGGTGGAAATATTGTTGGAAATATTTGCTGGTCGAAAAGTGAAATAAAGTTGCAATTCCTGCAAGAGCTGTCAAAATGTTGCTGCTGTCGCTGCCTTTTGCTGCAGTTGCTGCTGTTGCAGTTGCAGTTGCTGCGGTTGATATTGCAGTTGCTGCTGGGCTCGGCAACCTGCTGACTGTTGACTGCTGCCCGTCGTTTTCCCATGTGAATGCTTAACCGATTGCAAGTGCTTACCCTCGCGCCCCCACTAACCCCTTTCCAAGTTGCCTGATATTTTTACCAAAAAAAAAAAAAACAATTTCGACAGTCGCGCATTTTTCACGCTGCCTCATTTGCAGCGATTTTCAATGCGATATTTGTTGCTGCCGCTGCCACCGATTGTTTTTGCTTGCTGCAGTTGTTGCATTGCTTGTTGTTGCTTGTTCACATAACCATAACTCCGCATGGCACCTCAACAGATTGTGCTGAGTTTCCCAATACCCTTGAAGGGGGTATCTTAATTTTGGTTAGATATTTGATATCGTAATAAAGGAAAAGTGTCCGGGTTAAATTTGACTTGATCGGTCTTATGACTCTTGTACTTTTATTTAAAGTTCAAATATAATATCATACAAAGCCATTTACTTTTTAACAAACGTTTGACAGTTAAAACAACTTGTTGTTCATAAATTGTATCTTTGTATTAGGCAATTTGATGTGGATCATTTTTGTTTTTGTTTTTTTAATGAATCATTTTATTAACGTATTGAGCATTAATTATTTACTTGCAAATAAGGTAATTTTAAAAAATTCTCTTTATAATTCTAATTATCAAAAACACCAGTTATTGATTATAAATCCTACAAAATAGGGATTTCAGAAAAACCCCGTTTATACATAAAAAAAAATATATATTAAATATATATGTAGTTTTTATTCTAGTCCAAATACAATTCAAACCAACGATTGTATAAACTTGGAAATTAAAAGCTTTTAGAAAGCACTACTTTCTAAAAACTTTTGTATTTGTACAAAAAATGTTTAAGCCAGGATGAATGTCTATAAATATTATGATCATATATAAATATAAATTATCAACAACTTGATATAATTCAATTAAGGTGGTAAATTTTAAAGAGTATTTTACCAGCTGCAAACATTTTCTTTTTTGAGGTTCCCTCACATATGCTGAGCCCCAGTCGACTTTTATTTCGTTTGATTTCCTCGCCTTCAGGATCGTGACAGACCGCATGGATGTTGCAACTTGCAACTGTTGACTGGCGACCAGAAATACTTGCGATTAGCTTGGCCTGGCCCTAAATGAAATCAGCGGCCATTGGAGTCATAAATGGCTGGCAAAACCTTTGCTAATATGTCATGGGCCCATCGAAAAGCGAATAGCGAATGGCGACGAGCGGGTCAGCGGGAAACATTGGGCAATTGGCATTTGTCGGATTGTGTGAGTTGTGCGGGCATTCGAGTGCCATGGAGTACTATACTGGGGTGTTATGCGCTATGTCATCGAAACCAGTTTACCGTTAGCACACACATGTGTCCCAACCAGTACAGTGGTGACCCATTAAAGCAATCAGCGGCAAACACATGTAAGTCAAGTGGCAAACAGCGGGGCACTGAGTCCCAACTTCGATTCCCGCCTCGTTTTTGGTTACGGTTGCGGCTCATTACGCAGTTCGCTTTGATTTGCATAGCGATTGAATGGCTTTTGGCCGGAATGAAGTTGGCCGAAATGGAGTTGGCCCCTTGGGAGTTGGCCAGCCAGTTGGTCCGCAAAATCCCTCGATTTTCCCCCTTTGGCCAGGCCTTTGATTTGTGTGACATGTGCACAGAGAATTATTTGCTTATTGTTAAACATTTGCGTTTGAATAACTTGTAAACTGTCAGCGCAACACTGGTACCATTAACCCATTGGTGATAGTTGTTGGCCTGTGATATTAATGGGATTAGCGAAGAAGTATGAAGTTCTCTGGAGATTTTACGGTATATTGAATTAAATGGGATTACAAATTGAACCTTAATGGAATGTACCGTAAGTAAATTAAGATTTATTGAGTATAATTCATTTAAGATTTGGACTGTCCTAAGTGAAAATTATATTTCAAAGGCAATCTTGGCAGTTACGACATAATGTGTATTAATTTTTCCATTTTAAGACATTATAGTAATTATACATCTGGAAAAATTAAAAAAAAAATAAACATGAGTAAGAGAATGTAAATATAATATTAAATTACAAGCTTGGTAACTAAAATTAAAATAGTAACTAATACCATTTTTAATCACATTTTTAATCCCCTAATATACTTTTTTAATGATTTACTTGGATTTTTTATAACGACGTTGTTTATAAGCCATAAATATTTGATAGATACAAAATAGGTGTCTTCATCCTGAGTGTTAATCCTTTTATCTTTATTTTATAGGGGCTTAGTGGGTTAATCACTCAAGTTGGACATGTAGTTAGCGTTATTGGCGATTGTCATATTCGGGCGGCATTCCTGCACTGTCAATAGTCGATAGTCGATTGTTGAGGCCATGCAACCGGCTTATTACCGACTATATCAGATGGCCGGAGACTCTGAGACACACGCGGCGTATGCGCAATGTCGATCCCATTGCATTCTCG